TAGACTTTCTAGCTTCCACCTCTGACCTTTGAGACTTACCAGTGCAGATCCTTGAAACAGGCCTGCATGAGATGTTGTCATGGGCTCTAGGCCTCTAGCTGGACTCACAGCGGGGTGTGGGGCCATTGTGATGGGCTCCAGATCTTTAGCTGGACTCATGGCAGGGGAGCGGGGGACATTGTGGTAGGCTCCAGGTCTTCAGCTGGACTCATGGTGGGAGGGGCGATGAGGGCTTTGTGGTGGGCTCCAGGGTCTTAAGCCAGACTCATGGTAGGGGGCGGGGGCATTGTGTGGACTCCAGGTCTTCAGCTGGACTCATGGCTGGGGGCGGGGACATTGTGGTGGGCTCCAGGTCTTCAGCTGGACTCATGATGAGGGATGGGGTCATTGTGGTGGGCTCCAGGTCTTCAGTTAGACTCATGGTGGGGGATGGGGTCATTGTGATGGGCTCCAGGTCTTCAGTTAGACTCATGGTGGGGGGGGTGATGATGGGACAATTGTGGTGGGCTCCAGGTCTTCAGCTAGACTCATGGTGGGGGGGATGATAGGGCATTTGTGGTGGGCTCCAGGTCTTGTGGTGGGCTCCAGGTCTTCAGCTGGACTCATGATGGGGGATGGGGGTATTGTGGTGGGCTCCAGGTCTTTAGCTGGACTCATGCAGGACATTGCCATGAGATCCAGGCCCTTACATGCATTCTTTGAGTCTTCAGCATGTGGACAGGTTTCTTACACTCTTTTTTATTTGACTACTATAAAATAACCCTATAAATTATGTTCCCTATATTAAATTGCTTCCTTTGCAAACCCTGACTGTAAGACTCTCTAGTAAAGGATAGAATTCCTTTCAGTAGCCAGCTCTTGCTACTGCCTGCCTCAGACTTCACTTCAGGGCACTGAGCCAAACTCCCGAGGCTCGTCTCTGCCCCTTCTGCTTTGCCTGGAGTCTACAGGCCGCAGCCTGCCCTGTGAACCACAGACCTCATGGTTGCTTTGCATGTTTTTGCCCACACAAAACACCAGTGCTCTCTCACCACCTCTTCCACTGCCTAATACCTATTTACCCTTTAAGATCTGGTTAGTCAGAGTCAACCAAGAAGTGTTTGCCAGAGATGTTTTGTAACTTTGAGTGAAGCCATGTGGGGAGAAAAATAACTCACTTGTACATAGCATGCTCCATTCTAAATCACTTTCTTTTATAGTATCTCCTTTGCTTGTTGCTTCAATTCAATTCAGTGCAAAGCAGACACTATTGTGATCATCATTATGGACGAGATGGTGAGGTTCAGAAAGCCCAAGTGACTTGCCTAAGCTCTCCCTTTTAGATGGCCAAGGCAGGGAGTTCCCATTTCAAAGCCCAGGCTTGCCAATACCAATGCAGTGCTTATTAGAAATAGCTTCTTCTTCTTCTTCTTCTT